GGAGTCTCTCATTTTCCCGGCCCCCCCCCCCCCCCCACCCCGGCCACCTGACAATTTGGTGACAGAAAGTAGACTAGACTTTAGACCAAGTGAAACCAGGTCTAAGTTGTGGCGCAGGTGGTGTAATATCTTGGATTAGTTCGAGGCACAGGCAGACAGATTCTGAGCTCCACTGATATGTGTGCAGGATCTCATCGTACAGTATTGTGCGAATCCGTTACGCTTCCGCCATGTAGACCATGCACCTGTCCTGCGCTGAATTTAAAGGGAATGTGGGGAGCCACTTCCATTGGCTGGGAATCAAGTCAGCTGTGATCAAGTCCCACAACGGCAAAAATGCCCATTTCAAACTGCGACCCTCTATGAAAATGTCAAAAGAAAGAAAACTCCATCCGTGCACTTAGTTAGACTGCACTTTGTGCTCGACTTGCACTGGGCACAAAGATAGGGCCCATTGTATTTCGATGATGACTAATGGTGGTGCTAAGGTTAGCCAGTGAATAGCGCACCTGAGCCCCCATAAAGACAGTAAAAGCATTGATTGTACTTTCATTTGTGAAGGCTACTTCATCACCTAGCCAACGCAACAGAATTAGAATTTAATCGGGATGGAAAAGCTCTGTTAAATTACATTTTGACAGAGTCTGTCTGAACTCTGAACAGCTTTTCTTTGACACATTTTCTGGCAGAGGCAGCTCCCAAAAGATTTCTCGGTACTTGGTGGTCTAATTTCACAGTCGGGGCAAACAATTTTATCAAATTAAAAAGTCTGTTTTTCATACTGTGTCTCCTTTAAAGAACATCAAATTACTCCTGACTTTATACTCACAAAACATAGGATGGCAAATATGAAAAGGGGGATGGTAGAGAGGCCGAGGAGCCAACGCCAGCCCAGAGAAGGCATCACTAGAATAGCAAGAAGGACCTCAAACACTGTGCCCAGTGCCCAGAATATCTGTAAAGCAAAAGCAGTGAACACGGAATAAAACAGCTGCGGCCATCATGCTAGGCAGATATTGACAGTACAAACCTCAATGAGCAATATACAAGTTGCTCTGGACTTCATGGGAAGAAATTCAGCATACAATGTAACCCTGACGATGAGAAACCAAGCACCGTTAATTTAAAGTCTTGCCTGGCTGGTTGTTCAGAAGAAGTGGATGAGAGATACACACGACTGTGGCGCTCCACCGATGCCAAAGCCCACCAGAGCGCGGAGGAAGAGGATCCAAGCATAGATCGGTGCAAAAGCACTCATCAGACCATAGAACATCGTCCAAAACACACTCATTGTCAGACCCTACGTGTCAAAACACAAACACATGTTATGGTATATCAGTATTTTGGGAAATACTTAAATTCTCACACGTGGAACTGAAATGCCTGAAAGCTGGAATAAATGTTGAACATGACAGGGCAGTGAAAAGAAACCTTTGGCCTCAGCTACCATCAAATGAGCTAGGCATCGATACAAATCAATATGATTCTAGCGTTGGCAAATAATGGAGGAAGAGAAACCTTTAAAACTTCTGGAGTACTGAGACCATATCTGAGGGCTCTGTTGCTTTACAAGAACTGCAGTGAGCTGTTACACCTGTTGAGGACAATCATAATTTTGCTCACATGACATCCGAAATGAGGCAGTTCTCCTTCACTTGAAAGTCAAAACTTGCATGTGCATAATATCCTCCAGAATACATTTAAAAATATACATGTATTATACAAATTGTAATTTTGGTGCCTTGCTCAGGGGCACTTGGACAGTTGTCATGAACCAGAAGTGGTAGGATCCCTTTATCAACCAGCTGCAAATTATTTTTGTCCGCAATGTGTAGACTTGAATGCACAAAGTATTTTTCACTGACGATTAGCGATTTACGTGACAGAAAACATACTCACTGTCTTTCGTCCGTACTTGTCAGATATGTTTCCCCAAAGGGAGGAGCTGATCATCATTCCAATAAACACCGCCTGTGTTAATTGACAAGACATGTCAGAGAATGTGGGAACGTCACTATAATAGATTTCTTTAACAATAAAACAAAACCTCCAAACTCCTGCACTGTTACACATACACGAAGTGGATACAGAGCAATAAGCCACACTCTTAATAAGCTACTATATTCATACTAAAGAAGCATTATGTTACAGGCACTATTCTATACTTTGTAGGGAAAGCTTGTAAAAGGGCCCTTTTCTGTCCCAGCACAACGTTGTCTGAATACGCAAACCATTGAACCAGGTGTCATAAGAGCATGTCGGGATGTGTTTGGTGTGGAAGAATTTGACCTCAGTCAGCCCTTTTGGGATGAACTAGAACAGAGATGGTGAGCCGACAGACGCTACCTCAAGCGCAACAACAGTGACCTTTGACATTACGGTAATCACAAATGTTCTTCTGGATGGATGGATGAGAATTTCCACAGAAAGACTGCAGGATACTCTAGAAAACACTTATCGAACTCCAGTCTTCGAGGGCCACTATCCTGCATCTTTGAGATGTTTCCTTCCCCCAATACAACTGATTTAAATGATCAGAATCGTTATCTGGCTTCTGCAGACTTTGCTGATGAGATGATTATTTAAGGAGGAGGAGGGGAACATCTAAAACATATCTTTAATGAATCTATGAAATATACATTCTACTTTTAGACTTGAACTGCTGAAATAAATTCACTTTTCTTTCATATTGTCACTTATTTTAGAGTTAATAAAGATTGAGTTGCACATATATAAAGGATCGTGAGGCACACTAGCTAACAGAGCAATAATTACTGACATGGCAGCATATTTACCGATGTGAGAAATGCCACCTCCAGACTTGGTAGTCTCCATTCGCAGTGAAGCTGTGGAGCTAAGATGCTTAGAATCATCATCTCCATTGCGTCTGCCATCTAAACAAAATAATCAAGAGTTTACTAACAAAATCAAACAAAGTATAATAATCTACATAGAAATATAATAGAGAGAATGTGTAGCACAGAAGTCCTCACCCAGGACAGACCAGTGAGGATGGAGAGCTTCCACTGGAAGGTCCCAAAGCCGATGGCTTCAACAGCATCCTCGACCATGAATGTGTCTAAAAAGTCAGTTAAATAGCTTGTGAATGCAGAGAGAGAACACAACGCGTCTGATCGTGCTTATAAAAGTGCACAGATAAAAAACAATGACATTACGCTGCCTACCATCAGTTGGGTTGGCAAACTCCCGAGGGACCGGAGCTCCATCTGCGAGGGCTACAGACTCCATCTCTTTCGGCTCTGCCGCCCGCACCGCTGCAAATGGCTCTTGACTTTCGCAATCATCCTCTGAGCGTGCGCTCTCCCCCGTGTGACGGAAGCGGACGACACTAGGAATGAAATATCGAATGTGCAAATCCCTCACGAATCCATTCACGAATAAAATGACAATATGCCGATTCCAAGTTAGTTCTGAAAATAGGCTCTCTTTGCAGCATCTTTTCACGCTGAGGTTTGGATCTGGCCTGATTCAGCTGCTTATGTGCTGGCTGGAGGATACAATTACACGACAAGACCAAGGCAGAGATGGAAGGTGCAATTTTCTCCTACATGCTGGTAATGACCAGTTGACAGAGTGCCAGCGATATCTTTTCACTGTAATTACAGTACACAACATTCAATTCTACATGCTGCACATTAACATGTGAGATATTGTGTGAGGGTTCTACAGGTACTCCAGCTTCCTCACACATTTCTAAAACATGCTCGAGCAATTCATCGATTAATTCCACCCATCCATCCAGACAGACAGCAATAATAGAAAAGGTGCACGAAAACAGAAAAATAACCACCTGAGCCCTAAGTTTACAACCCTCCACCCAATAATAATAATAATAATAATAGTGAAAAAATAAAATAAAAAGCAATGTCGACTTCTCACATAGTGGCCTTGGATCTATTCACATTGCATGCAGGACACACAAGTCTAGACCAAGAAAATTGTAAGTAGAAATAGAGATAGGTAACAATCCCTTTGAATCTTATCTGTCATCAGACATGCCAGAATAATATTGGTAGCGGCACCATCGATTTTCGCCACTGATTTCCACCATATCACTAAGTTAAGTGAATGTGTTACTTATTTGCATATGTGGAATCTTACAATCCAAGGCCATCGTATTTTTGGCAGCAGAAATGTATTTTTCAGTTCGTTTTATTGAGAGAAGACATATCATTTCAGAGTAGGGGCATGGCAGAGACACAATACTTAGACAAGCACAAATCTCAGCCCCAATATATTTCCTATCCCTATGATCCCAGTGCATAAGCATATAAATACCGATAAATCTATTTGAGCAAAGGGTATAGATCAAAGAGTTCATGCTTTGTAAAATAGCTCCGTGTTAAATCTATCCATCCATTTTCTAATCCGCTTATCCTTACAAGGGTCGCGGGGCGTGCTGGAGTCTATCCCAGCTGTCTTTGGGCAGTAGGTATGGTACACCCTGAACTGGTTGCCAGCCAATTGCAGGGCACGCACAGACAAATAACCCTTCCCACTCACAATCACACCTAGGGACAATTCAGTGTGTTCCATTAACCTGTCATGCATATTTTTTGAATGTGGGAGGGAACCGGAGTACCTGGAGAAAACCCCACGCAGGCACTGGGAGAACATGCTAACTCCACACAGGAAGGCCAGAGCCGGACTCGAACTCTGCATCTCTCCACTGAGAAGTGGACCTGCTTACCAGTTGGCATGGTGGCCGCTTCCTTGTTAAATCATTGTTAAAAATTACCGTATGAGAAATCATTCAAATGATCAGTGTCTTTACATAGATAAATATCATTGACTTACAATAAAAACATGATACTCAAAGGTAATTTGAGCAAATTTGTTATTTCAGAAGTGTGTATCAAATGGGTAGCAATTTGCATTAATCAATCTCAAGAGGAAATATCTGTCATTTTCCAAAAAGGTTGATGACGCTTGCTGTTTCCTAGGTCTTGTGAATATGGTCATGTAAACTAATTGCCAAATAACAGACGCATATTTGTTGCCTTTTTTTTTTTCATTTTATGTTTCACTGCATAAATGTGTGTAAATGCATTACAGGGAGTCGTGAACTCCTTCACATATATTGCTTGACTGCGACCCAGTCTTTTGTGTTTTTCAAGTGCCACTGGCGACAAGACTGAGATTAAGTACTGTACTGAATTGAGTAGCGGCTGTTTAAGGGAGAGAGGTCATCGTTGTCTAAATCAGAGCAAACCGGTCTCCTACAGACAAACGACACGCAAATGCGACGACACGGCTTCCGGGAGCTATATGATTTTGACGATTTCATCCAGCACTATCTCCAGGTCGTCTTAGTGTGTTGACATCGGTGTGCATCACATGACGCTGGCGCCTTGATACAACGTGAGCTAATTTTGCTGTGTAGCGATCTGGCCGTACAAACAAGTTACACACAAGAGTGATTCAATACCAAGAAAATGACATATTGCACAAGGCGGTTTTACTCACGGTAGCTGTCTCAGCTGGAATAGATCATCGTCCATTTTGGTGTTTATTTTCCGACGCTCCGTATTGCCTCATCGCCGCTTACTTGATCACGACGAGTTGCGATTTCAGCACTGAGGAGAGCGACCCACAGACGGCCAATGAGAAGCCACGATACACAGAAAGGACAGACAAGAGATGAGTTTAAATGACAAGGTCGATTACAATAAATTCCTAAATATATATTTGTTTATTTTTCAGGTAGCCTATGTTTTTTTATGTAATAGCACTTGCTCACTAATAGGTAATAAATAGTAAAAAATAATGGGAGAGAGAAACGTAGTAATGTAGTACTTAATTTATAAGACTGTAAAAATGAAGGTAGTCAAACATAACATGATTTTGTCCGTTACATTTTTTTTCATTTTATTTTTATATCTATTTTATGACAGTGAAAACATCGGTGCGCTTCCTTTGTGGCTCCCCTAAAACAATGTTGAAGACAAAAGTTCCGTAATAACAACAGGATGTTGTGGTGCCGACCAGAGAGCTCAGATAAGCTTGTCAGAGAGTATCTTGGCACCGGACCAAGCGTCAGGTAAAGTATTCAACTTGGCAAAGACCACATTAAGCCCCTTACCTGGTTCACCTGGTCCAAATAAAAGCGGGTCACGACGGCGCCGTGTGTCGCGCTCAGCTGGCAAACAAGACAAACAAGCGACCGGTTTAATGCCCGTGTTGCTAATCCTTAGCGAAGAAACATGCACGAATGCATTATATCAGATGCGTGTTAATAATGTACCTTGTATCACTCTCTATGGATACCAGCTAGCATATCACGGGAAGCTAATACTCGGTGTTGCTGGTAAGTTAGCACAAACGCTAGTGCTAGCATAACTGCAAACATAAATGGCTGTCTATTCCCTGTAAATGCATGCTAGGTTTCTGAAATTTCAGCCACTGGTTGGGTTGTGGCAAGAAGCAACAAGCTCGTTGACGTTGCTAATTATACAACGATCATGTAACGCTTACATTACACGTTTGGGCATCTACACGCATTTCTTCCAGCAGCTAAACATGTTTATATATGTCCAACAGGGTTACAAAGGTATTCAGAATGAAAGACAGTGGTGGCACTCCGGATTGTCGATGCTTGCCATGAGGCAGGACTGATTTAAGAAATGGCTGCGACATGACGCACCCAACAAGTGCCCCCTGCTCGACCCTTAATGGGCGCGCGGATGGAATTTGTAAATACCGTGCACTGAATATAAAAATAAAATGTGGCACATACCGTTTAATGTCCAGTTATGCGAAATATTCCAGCCATTCTCATCCCTCTTTGCAGACCTAATGGTGTATTTGTAAAATCAAAACCACCCCAAAATAAATTGTGCTGTATTGCCTGTAACTGACATGCTTTGAGAATTGAGAGACAATTTCACTATAATGATGATGTTCTGTCTTCATTAGAAACAAGATGCTAAAAAACTGGGGTGTCATTGGTGGTGTTGCTGCTGCCATCGCGGCTGGTGTGTACGTTTTGTGGGGCCCAATCACCGAGCGAAAGAAGAGAAAGCGAGGTGACGATTCACATGATGCACAATGACAGCTGTGAATTTGTAGTTTCAGCAGTGACACGTTTTTACTTACAGGTATGGTTCCTGGTCTGTTGAACTTGGGCAACACTTGCTTCCTGAATTCTTTGCTTCAGGGTCTGGCAGCATGCCCGTCCTTCATCCGCTGGCTGGAGAGATTTTCAAACTCGCCTGCAATACAGTCATGCAAAGAAAACAAGTTGTCCACAACACTTCTCCAGCTTCTCAAAGGTTGCAAAACAATGTGGGAGGCTTAAAAGCAAAATCTTTTTGACAACCCGTGACTGTTCCAAATTTAGACTTTAGTGTTGTTTCTATGTTGACAGCTCTCTCCAGTAATGAGTCAGGGAATGAAGATGTGTTGGATGCTGGGTGCTTGCTGGATGTTCTCAGACTGTACCGGTGGCACATCAGTTCATTTGAAGAGCAGGTTGGTCTTCGGTGCTCGTTAGTAGGGCTTTTTTCCCCCTATTTTGGGAAATGTGTCCATTTTATTGTTATTATCCCTCCTTAGGATGCCCACGAACTCTTTCATGTCATAACATCATCTCTTGAGGAGGAGCGGGACCGGCAACCAAAAGTCACCCACTTGTTTGACATGCAGACTCTTGAGGTAAATAGTCGTATTCCAACTATAAATGTTGGAAGATTTTGAAACAAATCATCTTCATGCTGATTTCTCTAAGATGTGTGGACAGATTTTCATGAGAATATAAAGCGATATTTTTGATGTAGTTGTTCGCATTACAAAAACAAATGCGACTTCAAATGTGAACGGAATATATGATGTGACATGCATGCACACCTAACATGATGCAGAGTAAGTATCGCTGTGTACTTAAGTTACAGCTCTAAAATGTAATTTAAAAACATATTTGGGTAAATGCAAACAGCATTTATCCCCCACCATGGAACGCATTTTATTTTTGGGATATTAGGTGCATTGAGAAATGTGTACCATGTTGAGTTTAAATAAATGTTAACATTCTTCTGTTTTAATTCTTCTTGGTAAGTCTCAGTGGGCCATCACGAGTGAGTTATTAGTAGAACAGACCCATGGGCAACTCATGTTGCTCTTGGCTGCTAACTAGGACCTGAGTGCAGTGGAACAATTTTCACCGGAAATGAGACGATGCTCCTGTATTGTTCTTATTTCTTAGAGGTGTCTTCTAAAGATGACTTGCCGCGAATAACCAATGAACCGTCTGCGTCGCAGAATTATTACAGTTTATTGTTACTACAAACACTTGCGTTAATGTAATGTAATGTTTAACAATAGAAAACATTGATGTGAAAACAAATCCACACGAAAAAGGTTGATATAGGAAATTATATGAAGACCCAGCTTTCCAGGAAATGTAGAAGACATATTTTAAACATAATTAATCACAATTTATTAAAACTGTTTATTTCTTTATATTCTCTTTTATTACAATATACTGTAGTGCTATTCTTCATTTCTTTTTGTTAGAAAACATTATTTTGCAGGGAGCTGGAATGGATTAATGGCATTTCAACTACTGTATATATTTAGTTTTAATGGGAAAATGTATTGTTATACAAGTTAATTGAGTTAAAGGCTTGGTGACAGAATGAATGAAATGGGTACCGTAAGTCAAAGTAGCACTGTTTACATTTCAAATTGTGTATGTGTGCCTTCCGTCAGAGCCTCCCCAATCAAGATGAGAGAACAAGGACTTGCAGAAGTCGAGGTAAAAGAGGAACTTGGACTCAGCCTGAGGTCAGAGTGGGTGCTTGATAAAAATGATTTTTCAACCCCCTTTTTTGCAGCCCCTCTTCACCCGATTCCAAGCCCTTGGAAGTTTCAGCATCCTTTTCATGGCCGTTTAACAAGCAACATGTTGTGCAAGCGGTGCGAGCAACAAGTGAGTTTATTTGACATGAAAGCACAGAGGGCGCGCTGTTTTTGAAGGTTACCGGTAGTGCACGCGATTATACACATTAAAAAAAAAACTAACCTATTTCCATGAAACTTTTGAAGGTTGGAACTCAATATATATAAATGTTTTATTTACTGAAAGGTCATCATTCTCTACAAACCATGAAGCAGTGTTGAATCAAGTCCAAGCATACAAACAAAATATAGATGCCGCCAATAGACTCCATGCATAGCAGCTCGCCACATTCAAACCCATTTCCAGTGAAGTTGGGATGTTGTGTTAAACACAAATAAGAACAGAATACAATGATTTGCAAATCATGTTAAAAGACTGGGAATATTCAGGAAAGTTAATCAAACTTAGGGATTTCATCAACTATTGTATTAACTATTCATCAACAGTTCCCAAACGTTTATTGGATGTTCTTAAAAGAAAATGTGGTGTCACACAGTGGTAACACATGACGCTGTCTCAGATTTTTTTGGAATGTGTTGCAGCCATAAAATTTTAAGTTCATGATTATTTGTTAAAAAACAACAACATTGATTGGTTTAAACAATTACCTTGTCTTTGGAGAGTGTTAAAAATGTAGGATGAACATGATTTTGCAAATCATTCTATTCTGTTTTCATTTATCTTTTGGGAATTGGGTTTGTAAAAATATTTAAAAAATTGTTCAGTTCTCTTCGCTTTTGTTCGGCAAATTTACTTTGTATACTTGCTGTTTTATTCCCAGTGGCTGATTCCACAGCCACAGAATAAAAAAATGGGAAGGTCCTGAGGTCTGGCGTCATCCTCAAGCAGTGCCTTTTTTTTTTTTTCAGAGCCCGGTGCGATATGATTCCTTTGAAAGCCTTTCATTATCTATTCCTTTACCTCAGTGGGTAAGCAAAATAGTCATTAAAATCTACCTAAATGTAAATTTTGTTTTAATGTGACGAGTATTTGTGTTTAGGGTCGACCGGTCTCTCTGGATCAGTGTCTACAGCATTTCATCTCCTCAGAAACTATCAAGGAAGTAGAGTGTGAAAATTGCACCAAGGTATTTTCCTCATCTCAATTTCCTTGCATAATGCAAAGAACTAAAGGGTTCATGGTTTTAAAAAAAAACAATTTTACCCCCCATTTTAGCTTCAACAAGGGACAAGAGTCAATGGACAGCTTCCGGAAAATCAGCGGACAACATTTGTAAAGCAGCTTAAATTGGGCAAGGTAAGGAAATTGGGAACTCTCCATGTGCTTAACTGTACGTCAATACTGTATATGATGAATGGTGGACTTTGGGCAAAGACTGTCCTCATTCTGTTTAACCAGGTAATTGCATGGTAACATTTTCCAGCCATCAAGTAAGAGCTCTATTGTGTACTCTTGCAATTATTGTTCCTGCCAATGTGTCCCCTTCCTCCTTCAGCTTCCCCAGTGCCTCTGCATCCATCTGCAAAGACTCACATGGTCCAATGAAGGAACCCCAATTAAACGACAAGAGCATGTTCAGTTTGCGGAGTATCTATCAATGGACCGCTACAAACACAACACCTCCATACCGACGAGTCAGCGCGCCAAATGTGCAGGGAAGCACCAAAGTGCAGAAAATTCAAGCAAGGATATGCAAAAGCCTGCTGCCAATGGCACAGGTATGGTCACCATCAACCTCATCCAGCCTGTTGCTATTGTCACTTGCATCTGTAGTTTCTTGTCATGTGTTTTGCAGATGCGGAGCTTCATAACAACAACAAACCCTTTGCAAATGGAAACTGTTCATCTGTCTGTTTATATTCTACATGTGGGACCACTCAATTGGGCCTCACGTATGACTACGGGTAAGTTGCCTTGCCTAACACATGATTGCATCCTCCATTACATAAATGATGATAACAAGGGGGATATCCACCGAAAGAAGAACTTGAAATCTGTTTGTTTGGATTTTGAAATAAGAGAATTAGAAATAATGCTCTATGATGTTTCTCATTCGTAAACCGTTTTCCCCAACACATACTATAAAATCAAATCATTCCAGTATCAAAGTGTCAGCATATAACCCCCCCACCCCCACAAATGTGGGATTAAAAGTTTGTCTTTCAGCAAATGTCAACACAATTGTCTATCTCTCTCCTGACAGCTCCACGGAGTACCTTTTCCAACTCACGGCTGTGCTGGTTCACCATGGTGACATGCACTCAGGACATTTTGTAACATATCGACGCAGCCCCTCCCCACCTTGCAGCTCCTCGCCATACATCTCTCAGTGGCTCTGGGTGTCCGACGACTCGGTCCGTAAAGCCAGCCTGCACGAGGTGCTGTCCTCTAATGCTTACATGCTTTTCTACGAGAGGGTCCAGAAGCAGAGCGCCGTGTTGCACACGCAGGAGTAAGTGAAGGCTCGGCGGCTAAATTCATTCTGCTGCCTCTCCAGTCACATGGTTACAAATGGATGTGTCCATGATCACAGCATGGTTGATGCACGAGTTGACAAAAGAGTGCCTCATTTGATTGAGGTGTTTTGCGTGCACGGGTCAAAGCAACGACTTGTGGTCATGTGATGTTGCTGCTTTTATCCAAAGCAGGAGACTCCAATCCCAAAGACTGTGGACATGTCTCGCTCTCAATGTATTTGGTTTGCAAAGGAAAACAAACTTGAGAAATGTGATAGTGCAGTACATTCCTGGTTCAAATCTCAATAGGTTCATTTATGACGCATTAACTGTTGTTTTCAGAACTCCATTTGAATGCAGATTGTTTCCATTTTTCAATGCTGAGAAGTGAGAACTCGGACTCAATCAGAATTTGATGATTGTGCATACATGACACCGATGATAATAATTTCCAACGATTTAATAGCAATGTATGTAGGCATCTTCTGGAAATTATGCATCGTTATTTGGATCTGATATCGTAATACGGAATGACTATTTGCATACTGTAGCTAAACTTTTGAAGTGAAAGTGCCATGTGGGTTTCCGAGATTTTTCATACGAAGCCATACATGCGTGACAATTGTTTTTCTCTGATGTAAAAATTTGATGGATAATTTGGTGTCCAGATTCACCGTTGTCACGAGAGGAGCTGTAACAAATACATCCAGACAATGGCTTCTCTGCAAGTTAGCTTCAATATTTTTAACTCTGCACTACTAGTAACTGCCACTTTCCTCCTTCCAAACCAGCTGAGAAGCAAGGATGTAGAGCAGAGGCCTGTTGTTAATGTTTGCAATTTGCACTATTGTACAGTATATACATGTGAAATTTTGGTGTGCAATCTCTAAAGGTGACCGTTTTGTGATATTAAAAAAGAAGAAAGAAAATCTTTGTTTTATCTGTAAGCTTTATCTATTTACTGATACGTAGCCCTCTTGAAAGCAAACAAGAAGGCTCCAGATTATATGATTCAGGTTGTATGTAGACATATACATTTGCACAAACATGACAGACACCTTTTCAAGATTTTGTTGGATGAACCTTTGAGACAATCACTTCAATCCAAATAGTTATGGAACTCAGTGAGATTTGCTCACCTCTCGACAAGGACACTGTACATTACCTTGTATGAAACATGGGGGAGGCTTGGCTAGGTTTTGGGGTGCGCTGCGGCATACAAGACAAGAAAGCTTGAATCTGCAATGTGCAATGAAATCTCAAGTGCAGTACGGTATATTAAGGTATTTTTTCCCCCTCCCCAATCACTTTCATTTTTTCCTCAATAACAAACACGCAGTAGCAAAAAAAAAAAAAAAAAAAAAAAAAAAATTACAGTGTTGAGGCAAATCAATGTATAAATCTTTTTCCATACAACCACGGAAGGATACTAACGATTCTTTCTGTGTGCATCATCCACAGCTGAAATTGGTAATGACAGTAGAAGTCAAGGATCTGGTGATGGTGTTTATTATTTACCAGTGGACATGATGCGTCTAAATGTGAGGTTAATGCGAGGTAGGAGGACTTTCTTTCGCACAGGAAGGCTGTGATACCAGAAAGTGTTGGTGGGCGAGTTCATGAGGAGCAGGCTTCCGTGAGCCAACACCAGCTTGACAGGCTCGATGCGCCGACTGCTTTGTTTACCTCGAGCATCTCTGTGGCGGAAAACGAAATCTCGAACGGCGCCGAGTGAGACTGAGGCAATGGGAGACAGAGGGTCGAGCTCCCTCTCGTCATCCCGATGCTCACCAATGTGATCGTGCCCATCTTCGTACCTAGAAAAGACTATTGTCAGTTGATTATTAAAACCATTGTGTACTTGTTATATTTCCTACCTGTTGATCAGGACAAAATTGAATGTATGTCCTGTTACTTTGGTGACAGAATCCCGAATATATTTCAAGGTGGGAGTCCATTGGCAAGCTAAACGTGGCACTCCAGAATAAGTATAAATTAATCCTGTATCTCCATATGTCGCCTGTTTCCTCGGTATACCGTACACCTTTCCAAACACTTGCACTTTTGCTTCTTCCCCTGGAATATAAAGCCAGTGTCACTCCACCACTCCTTTACCTCCTGTCAGACCTTTAGAATACTGAGACGACTTTCACCTGTTGAATAGACCACCTCCTTCTCCAACTTTTGGAAAAGGTGGTCAGCTTCATGCTTGGTAAAGAGCAAAGCATAGTCACAGTCCAGACCTTCTGACTCTATTTTTTGCCAGGGAATCGGATCAGAGAAGTCATCTTCCTCAGCATCCACCGCCTCTTCCTTCCCTTCAATTTCCTCTGGCTTAAGCTTCTTCGAAGGAGTTGTTGTTTCGGTGTCATCCGGGCATGATTGTTTACGCACAAACTTCTCCATTGCATTTTAAATTTTACATCTGTAGGCACAAACGAGTAACAAGATGTGCAATTAAAAAACTGACTCTTCTTGGGTTGGCTGGTTTGTTATGATCTGCCGGTATAATGAAAACGTCTTGATGCTCTCTGATCAGATTAATACATGAATGACAAATGTTTATCTAACAGTTTTCAGTCTTTCATCTATGACGGTTTAGCAATTTGTATCAATGGCGTCTTGAACACGGCGACCGACTGGTTAGCACAACGGCCCCACAGTTCGGAGGTGCAGGGTTCGATTCCGGAACTCCCAAACGCCCCGGATGGGTTCAAAACAATAACAATAAGTCCATTAGCAGTTTTACAGCATAATAAACCAGGCTGCTGAAACTGTCTATGTGGTATGCATTGTTCATTTTCTAAAAACAAGACAAAGGTGTTGTCTAAAAATAAAATAAGATGCTCATGTTTCATTTTTGTTGCCTTTCAATCTCTTCTCGTTTAGAGAACAGACGAGTCGTTCGTTTGACATTTTGTTCCCATACCAAACCAAGCTACGTACCGAATAGTGATGTGTTGTTTACTGTTACAACGGTTACCCTAAGGCCAATCATACGAGGTGGCCAGCGATGAAAATAAGTCTGAGATCCTCTGCCCTAACGGAAGCTGCCATGCATATTGTAAAAAGCCCTTAAACAGCATGAGCAGCGTTGAACGTAGCAGAAAAGAGTGGAAAAAACACCAGTGGGTCTTGAACGCCTCACAGCTCATTATCATAACGCTGTTTCGTCACTTCAATGTTGGCGCGAAATTGCTTTGCGTTTAGGAAGAGTCTGCCGACACAGTTTCCACATTACTGAGACTGTTTGTAATCATTTGTGTTCGGGCACTTACCTTCAAAGCAAGAACATGATTGGGCAGAAAACTATTAATTCATTTTTCTCACCGATCTCCAAAAAGAAGTCTTGCAAAGAGTTAAATGAAGCGGAGAAAGCTGATAAAGACTCGGTGAGCGTTATTTTGCAACTTATTTCTGGGAGCACGCTTTGCTAACCTTTCCCGGTGACTATTTTTCCCTTCAAAAGCTTACTTATTTGCAAGAGCTCCAGGGGCGCGTGTTTGAACGAGCTGCCGTTTCATTCAGGCAGCAGCGGCAACCTAAGCTAAGCTGCATTCAAAAGCACCACTCTGTTTTGCATCGTTAATAAGGAAACATGAATATGTTAGCGCTGCGCTGTCGTCCGGTTTGCCAGGTAGTTTCCTTCCGTGCCTACTTCTCACCTACTTTGTGTTTTGCGCAATTAACTCCAACCATGCAGAGGAAGCGCAAGTCCTCGGCGGTTGATCCGGAGCCCTCCAGCCCCCGGTCGGCTCCTCTGTCTCAGGAACAGCTGGACATGATCGCCCGTAACAAGAAGGCGGCCTTAAACAAGCTCTCTCCTCCCGGATTTGCGGGGAGCTGGCAAAAGGCGCTGGCTGCTGAGTTTGGAAAACCTTATTTCAGACAGGTAACTGGGCCACGTCTCACCAATCTCTCATGGATGGCGCTACACAAGACCCTCCTTCACCATTTTATTTGATATTCTATAATATATTTGTTATTTTGTTTACACTCTACAGGTACTTTAAGTCATATTCCTTTATGGTTTAGTTCTCTTCTACCCTTTATATTGATTTTGTAATTGAATCCAGGAAGTTGCACATTTTTTAAAAAATGCTGAATTTGCACATTTTCTGTTCAAATATAAGTAATATTCCTTTCTGGTTTAGTTCTCTCTTCTACCCTTTATATTGATTTTCTAATTGAATCCAGGAAGTTGCACATTTAAAAAAAATGCTGAATTTGCACATTTTCTGTTCAAATAACTGTCAAATGTGAAGTCCGGCAGCAAGAAGTTGAGCTTGCCTCAAATTGCACAACCTCAGACTAACTGCAGTGAGGACGTGTATTAACAAGCGGCTGTTTCCGTTTCTCCAGTATGTTTTCTCACACTCTTAATATGTACTCAAATTTTCCATAGTTAAGACAATGCGCTTAATATTTGTGTGTTATATATTACATTTTGCTGATTGCATAAAACGGTAGCTAAATTGTGACGTGAGGCAGACAGCACAGGGCTTTCAATTTAACATATAGACAAATACAGGTAATTGCCTAGGACTTCGATTTTCCATGGACCACATGAATTACAAAAAAAATAAAAAAAAATCACATTTTCTTTGATTTCTATTACAAAAAAAAAGATTCACATTTTCTTTGATAGAAAATAATCATGTTTTGTTTTTTTCCCGTCAAAAGCTTACTTATTTGAAAGAGCGCCAGGGGCGCGTGTTTGAACGAGCTGCCGTTTCATTATTTTTCCCTTCAAAAGCTTACTTATTTGCAAGAGCTCCAGGGGCGCGTGTTTGAACGAGCTGCCGTTTCATTCAGGCAGCAGCGGCAACCTAAGCTAAGCTGCATTCAAAAGCACACTCTGTTTTGCATCGTTAATAAGGAAACATGAATATGTTAGCGCTGCGCTGTCGTCCGGTTTGCCAGGTAGTTTCCTTCCGTGCCTACTTCTCACCTGCTTTGTGTTTTGCGCAATTAACTCCAACCATGCAGAGGAAGCGCAAGTCCTCGGCGGTTGATCCGGAGCCCTCCAGCCCCCGGTCGGCTCCCCTGTCTCAGGAACAGCTGGACATGATCGCCCGTAACAAGAAGGCGGCCTTAAACAAGCTCTCTCCTCCCGGATTTGCGGGGAGCTGGCAAAAGGCGCTGGCTGCTGAGTTTGGAAAACCTTATTTCAGACAGGTAACTGGGCCACGTCTCGCCAATCTGTCATGGATTGCGCTACACAAGACCCTCCTTCACCATTTTATTTGATATTCTAAAATATATTTGTTATTTTGTTTACACTCTACAGGTACTTTTAAGTAATATTCCTTTCTGGTTTAGTTCTCTCTTCTACCCTTTATATTGATTTTCTAATTGAATCCAGGAAGTTGCACATTTAAAAAAAATGCTGAATTTGCACATTTTCTGTTCAAATAACTGTCAAATGTGAAGTCCGGCAGCAAGAAGTTGAGCTTGCCTCAAATTGCACAACCTCAGACTAACTGCAGTGAGGACGTGTATTAACAAGCGGCTGTTTCCGTTTCTCCAGTATGTTTTCTCACACTCTTAATATGTACTCAAATTTTCCATAGTTAAGACAATGCGCTTAATATTTGTGTGTTATATATTACATTTTGCTGATTGCATAAAACGGTAGCTAAATTGTGACGTGAGGCAGACAGCACAGGGCTTTCAATTTAACATATAGACAAATACAGGTAATTGCCTAGGACTTCGATTTTCCATGGACCACATGAATTACAAAAAAAAAAGAAAATCACATTTTCTTTGATTTCTATTACAAAAAAAAAGATTCACATTTTCTTTGATAGAAAGTAATCATGTTTTGGTCTTAATTAACTTGCTTCAAACACTTTTAACGCTTAATCTGTCATGATCTTTTTGACTGCTAATGCCTCCCTTCTCATGCAATGGACTGGATTCACAAAATAAAGATTGTAAAGAAAATTAAGCGGCAGATGGTCCATGCATTATGAAGGGTTGCTTGGAAAACTTTCTCCTTGGACCCAAAAGTTTGAGAACCCCTGGACTAGCGTAGTTAATGCATCCCTCTTGCAGTTTAATGATACACCCGTTTTACTCCCCTAGTTGATGCAATTTGTTAACGAAGAGAGGAAACATCACGTGGTGTACCCACCCGCTGACCATGTCTTCACCTGGACGCAGATGTGTGAAGTTCAAGATGTGAGTCTGATTGTTCCACCTGCCCGAAACCTCTTCAACTAATCGCACATCTTCATGATCACAACACTGAGGAGCACTTTATCATTTCTCAATAGCGACAAGTATAAAAAGAAGTTAACCGCTATAAACATGAAACCGAAAAAAAACACTGTCAGATTCTCTTTTCACATCTCTAGGATAGTCTATTATGAGTCCGTTTTGAAAGGAAATAAATAAAAGGGCAAAGAAAAAGAAAACCCCCGTTCAGTAAGGGATTTGCACCCTTATGAAAAAATATCAATTTGAGGCCCCAACACTTCAATACTGCAAACTTAAATGTGATCTAAACGAATCAATGGAAATTTGTCACGTTGACGCAAATTTCAACCTTTTATTTATTTGGTGTTCATGTGTGGCATCTGTACAGTATCTTGACGTGGAGGACAATCCTTTGTTTTGTTCCGATATCATCTCGCTCGAGTCTTCTCTTTTCTCTACCTTCAGATTAAAGTGGTGATCCTCGGTCAGGACCCGTATCATGGTCCAAACCAAGCACACGGATTGTGTTTCAGTGTCAAAAGACCAGTGCCCCCCCCTCCCAGGTCCTCTAAATTTGAAAGTATTCTGGTGACTTTATCATTTTTGTTTATGTGTGTATTTTTTTTAAACATAGCGCCACTATTAAACTCTTATTTTCTATCCATTTTCAGTTTGGAGAACATGTACAAAGAGCTGATCAATGACATTGAAGGCTTCGAGCATCCTAAGCATGGAGATCTAAGTGGCTGGGCAAAACAAGGTTGATTTTAAGCAATAAAGTTGGCTGAACTGTGTCAAAAACTGAGTCAGCTGTTACCCTACAGGTGTGTTGTTGCTCAATGCTGTGTTGACCGTGCGAGCACACCAAGCCAACTCGCACAAAGGCAAAGGCTGGGAGACGTTCACTGACGCAGTGGTGCAGTGGCTCAACAATAACTTGGAAGGGCTCGTATTCATTCTTTGGGGAGCCTACGCACAAAAGAAGGGGGCCACCATTGACAAGGTGAATGCATTTTGTTGCTTTGAATACTTAAATGCTTGATTATATATTAATGATATTCCTTGGATTCATAGAAACGTCACCACATCCTGGAGGCAGTGCACCCTTCCCCCCTGTCGGCTCATCGTGGATTCTTTGGCTGCAAACATTTCTCAAAGGCCAATGAGCTGCTGAACAAATCTGGAAAGTCACCTGTTGACTGGAAGGCACTTTAAACTGTTGCACTTGTCTGCTTTTTTTCCACACCATGTTGTTGAACTACAGAGACTCCTTAATAAGCTTGTCTACATTTTCAAAGTTAACTGTAGATAACATTATCTTCTTACACTAGAAACACTGTTCTACTTTGTGGAAAGTTACTTTATCGTCTTTTGTTATGATGCATATGTTATATTTGGGAGTTACAGTTTTGCATAACGTTTGTATATCTTTATTGTTTTATACATTAAAAATGTTACTACATCTCACATTTGATAACCTTTCTGGCTCATTTGTGACACTGAAAAACGGTGAGGTTATGTTTCTGCATAAAAAGCATTTTAGTGCAATGTCAAATTGGATGGTTTATCATCTGCACATATCTCGAGATTAATAAACTCAAGTCATCTAGACATTGATATAAAAAAAAATGAGGTGCAGATGACGGTAAATTAAGGTCAGTGTTGTGTAGCAAAAAAGTATTTGGAAAGCTTCTCAGGAAAGTGGAAAAGGCCAAATGATAACACAAGAATTTACAGCTTCCAGAACAATATCGCCTTCCTACTTAAAATACAATTATCGCTCCAGGTGATCTCACGCACCAAGCCCACTGTGCATATTGTGTCGCGATAGGCTCGCAAACGGAGCCTTCAAAACTGCCAAAAATGAAATTAATATCTCGATTCAATTTCCGACATCCTATCTTTGTGGAGCAGGATTTTCTGCAATGCTACAAAGTAAATTGGACATATTTAACAATGAGTTTCTAATGTCTCCCATTACTCAAATGTGGAACCGTTGTACCGGTGAAACAAGACAGGGCTCCCCACACTGACATTCAGTTCAATGGTGAGTTGTATTTTTATTTATTTTAATTTGTTTCCCAACAGGTCGGTCAAAATCTGTTGCGGCGCAAAAAATTGATAATTTTAAACCATTACTACATGAAAAATGACAACAACGGCACCCCGGTTGGATACTTCCGGTAGTGTGTGATGACGTAAGGCCAGTGGTGACGTGCTCTCAACCGGAAGCTTTGAAAGAAACTCCGCCCTAACAAAGTTCGGTCCACTTTTATTGTTTAATTAGTTTAAAGTTCACGTGGCACAAGACGTGACGATGCCCGTGCAAAGCGTACCGCTTCGAGATGCGTCGATTCACTATCGTTTACTTCATCAGTATCTATTTCTCCTGAAGAAATATCCCATTCTGACTAAATCTGTAACAAGGTTTGTTGTACGAGTGGACTTTGACATGTTTACTCTGCTGGCGCTCTGCAGCCAGTTGCTGGTGTCCTCATTTGACTGACACTTTCGTTCTCTAAATTTGCTTTGCTTATCAATTTGAAGTCTTTGCTTGCAGCGACCAGATTGTCTCTCGAAGGTCTCTATTCAGCCAATCAGCTTCTGCTTAAGAGCCTTCCATACGTTACGTCCACATCTAAGTTTGACACTGTTATTTATTCTGGTGCGTTTTCTTTTGTTTGTCCTTATCCTTTTCAGTGGCATCCTCTCAGCCTTGGGAAATCTTCTTTCTCAGATTTTGGAGGCGAGAAAAAAGGCCCAAAGTAATGCTTCAGCCAAAGAGATTGACACAGCTGGTGCTGCACGGTTTGCTATTTATGGGTGAGCCTTTTTGTTTGTTTACCTTTTTACAACTAGTACAGAAAACGGGTGGATGGTTGAACTGGAACATAACCTAGCAATTATTGAAGCTATTTAAAACATTTATATTCAACATTTAGAAGCCATTTGATGGGCAGTCATTGTCTGTTATGTTGTTCCAGTTTGTTCATTACTGGACCAGTCAGTCATTACTTTTACCAGTTGATGGAGATGTGGATGCCAACTACAGATCGATACTGTGTCATCAAACGTCTCTTATTGGATCGTCTTGTATTTGCTCCCGGCTTCCTGATGATTTTCTACTTCGTGATGAACATACTGGAGGTGGGTATCAATTATCATGTGAACCAAGTAAGAAAACCTCTCAGGTAAATGTTTATCCAAACATGAGGAATGACCTTTTTACACTTGAGTTTCACTGTCTTGAAGACAAATTGTCTATTATTCCAGTTGCTCTCATCTTTTATTTATTAATTGTGTAATCATAGCCACATTTATAAGTGTGTCTTTGAAGGAGACACAAGAACTTGAGAAGAATACAGACAAATATACTGATAATATTGGTAGTCTGAGCTTGCTTTAAGACAATAATTATAGGGTACTTTATCTCCTATGTTGAGCGAGGTAAAGGAGGCCACAAAATAAGATCTAGTAGTTCTTAAATGTATAAACACTTTACAAAGACCTTGCAATCAGTCATGGTTGCTAAAATGAGGTTATTGTTTCTTAGTTTGTTTTAAATATCAAATAAGTTTATAAGTAGCCCACAATTGCAAGTGTGAAAATGTCGGATATAAAAAGTTTGTATAGCCACAACCAGTACAACAGTAACGGCTCACCTACCCTTGATTTAATTCCAGTAATTCTATAGGCATGAACAGTCTTTTGAATCTTTTTCTCAGGCAAAAGGGTCGGATGACTTTTTAAAGAAGATTAGAGGAAGTTACTGGACTGCTCTGAAGATGAACTGGAAAGTTTGGACACCTTTCCAGTTCATAAACATCAATTTTGTGCCTGTTGAGGTATGTATTTCACTGGCGTTCTGTTTACAAGTCACACCCTGACAGCCTTGTGTCCAACTTTTGCTGTGTTTCACTTTCAGTTCCGAGTGCTATTTGCCAACATGATCGCCTTATTTTGGTATGCTTACCTTGCAACGGTGAGAAAATGAAACCTCCGAAGGTTTCAACTGGAAAAAAAAAAGAATCTGGAGCATGTCGGTATGATTGTGAATGCCAGAAAACTGAGATTCTACTGCCAGCTGTCCGACGGTTAACTGACGCGGACAATCATTAACACTTGACAATGACTTTAACACTGTGATCTAATTTTGGATACTTGACTGATTATGTAAGAGAACATCAGAATAAATGCAGTTTCTATTATTAATGATAATAATCACTCTCAAAACATAATGGCTTTACCACTGAAAACACTGTAAATAAATATTTAAAAGTTAAAAGAATGTCAAACTCAATTCACCTGGAAAATGTTACAGTTCATCTTAGGCTCACCCTGACCCTTCACCCTAAAGCCCAATATCCAAATGTTTTGTGATTAGTGAATGTGTAAAAATTATCATAATAATAAAATTAAAAAATAAACCAAAAAATAAGTGCCTGCCTTATTTTTATTTTTTTGTCTGCCTCGAGCGATTTTTGGTCAGAAATGTGACAAAAGTCTAAATGTGAAAGAAAGTATCACCCTGAAGTCGGATTGATGTGAATCATAATGCATTTGTCAAAACTAAATGTAAGAGAATCACTTTTGGATTGACGTTAAATACGGGGATGCAGCGAACCAATATGCAGATGGGTAATCATCAGCCTCCTTTCGGGCGAAAGGTCATGCAGATGGTGCTCAAAGCTCTGATGTTGTAGTCCTCCAGTTTCTTGCTCACCATTTTGCGGCCTTGGTGAATGAACCTCTGCTGGCTCACTTTAACCACCCTCTCGACTCCGCACCTTCCTGTCTCATTATTGTGATTCTTGTAGGTACTCAGTTGCTCCCTTCCGTTTCTTAAGAACACCCCTGGAGAGTCTCGGACTCCTTCACCAGCACACACACCCTCGATCCGGCCCGCAGGCCGCAGGAGCTGACGGCCAAGGAGTCGTCTTTGAGAGGCGTCCTGTGGCTGCCTGCCAACATCAACTTTTGCATATGAGCGGTGATCCCCAAGTTGGTCTCAATTAGATTTTTGACTGTGCTTAGGATGCACCGTCAACATTTGGGATGTCACAGTCAACATAGCGATGGTTATCACCATGGCAAGCAGCCTGGAAGTGTCATCAAAGACAACACCTAACAAGCATCTCGCCATTGTGAGGCTTCCAACGGTTGTTTTTAGAGTAAGGTGGTCACTGGGCTCAAGGTGTCGTCAGTAGGTTAACAAAAGCAAGACAAAGAGACTGGAGGGGTCACAATATGGTACAGAAATCGAGACATCCTTGGAAATGTTCATGAATGATCAAACATCTATACAGTAAAGTTGAACATTTGGACGCGTTCAAAAGTTCAGAGGCCAAGACTTAATTCACCTGTCAAGGTTGTAGTGCATTTTTGGGTCAATTTTGAAATTTTAGTCACGAGCCAACTTTTCCAAACCTTTTTTGATTAGTGTATGCATCAAATCAATTGAAGTTTGGTTTTATTTTTGACCCTCTATTGGTTTGTGGTTACAGAGGTGACAGAGGTCAAATGTGAAAGAAAGCATGAGAATAATTGGACTGTTTTGTAGACATATTTATGTTCAACAAGTGGATGCAATCCATGTGGCCTGAGTGTCCGTGGCTATTCATCAGCCTCTTCTCAGGCATAAGGTCACGTCGATGGTGCTCCGAGGTTGTAATCCTCCACTTTCTCTTTGATGAATGAGCCTCTGCTGGCTCACTGGTGCTCCCTCTCTGCTTTCCTCTTTCCCTTTGAAGTCCCTCAACGTCTTGCTGAGATCGATCACGTACTCAGTTGGTCATTTTTGTGTCTTAAGAACACCTGAATAGTCTCGGACTCCTTCGCCAGCATTCCTTCTGGCATCCTGTGGCTGCCAGCTTTTGCTATTCGTGAATGGCAATCCCCAAATATTTACAGTAAACCAACCAATTGAGATAAAACAATAAGAAATATCAGGGTGAAGAAAATCAAATATCATAGCTCCATTGGTTATTCTACCTAATTTAATGACCAAAAATCACAGTGTCAACATATTTAGGAAAACATTTATTGAATTTGAAAAATATAAAATAGATACAAAATGTGCAGTCGTTTTCAAACATATTCACCCTATTGTATTGAACCTTACCAGAATAGATACTGTATATCAAACAAGACATCACTATTAGTCAAACAAACTACTCTTTTCATTTCTTCATCAAGCAGCGACAAAGTACTTGCATTTTTGCAACAAACTGAAAATCAACGACATGCATTACAACCAGCTCATCATATTAGCCGTGACCAACTTCATATATCGACGTACTGAGAAAATAAATCAAAGCTAATGATGACAGTATTCCTTAGTCTGAAAAACAAGTTCCAAATCTTCAGAATTCAGAATGTTTCAGCATGGCAGTCCGCTCCTCCCTCTTTGGTAAGGGAATATTTCCTATGGTAAAAGAAATACATTTTTAGTGAACAATGTACTAGTGAATGGGGGAAGATTCCGCTTTTCCAGCAGTACAGTCTTTAAAAAAAAAAGCAAGATAAATACTTGTTTTGTTGCAAGTGTCTCTTACCTGGTGGTGCCACATAATATTCCTCCACTGTGTTTTTGGAGAGCTGCAGAAGCTCTTCTGCATGGTTGCCTTCTAACACCGTGTCCTCCCTCAAGTGCAAAATCCTGGATGTGCACAGAAGACAAACTGAAACATGGAAAAACTGGAGCTGCTGCCCATATAATGACATTTAGCTCACGTGAACAACACACCTGTCCTCCAGAACTGAATCCATCGGCTCGACTCCTGAGGTGTCAACAACATGAAGCTGCGCTGCAAATCTGATGGCCTTCTCCAAACAGGCCAGTCCCTCTTTGGTGCGGAAGTCCACTAAGGCCAGACGCTCCAGTTTGTCCACCAGGTCGGCTGCTACTGGCGTTGGCTGGAAAACAAAAACAATGATGCTTTCATTTGTATGATCTCATATAGGTTGTGGAGGCACCTGAAAGGGGGGGGTCTGTTATTAAGGACCAATATTTGTTTGTTTTTTTTCAGTAGCGAAATGATTTAATTAAAATAAATAAATCAATGATGTAACAGGTGAATCAGATTTGACTGGACTTTCATCACATTACAGCGGACAGCAAAAAAATATTCTTATGGGTGACCTTGTGCTGTCACATGACTGTTCGAACGTAGTTAACGGAATGTCTATAACATGAGCCTCAAAGTCTCTGCAGCCCCCCACCGTAGTAGTTTTTTTTAAATGACTATAAATACACATCACGATAATTCATATGCACCTCTCTACTCATTTTCAGAGGAATGGAGACACACAAATCAACTTGCCTAGCCTAGCGTTTTTCTATGGAGATATTCATTGTAATGAAGACTATTCTTGGTGATCGTACGGCGCATTCCGACTGACGGACGAGAAAGCAACTCAATCGTACAACGAAGACTCGTATACAGTATTATTATTATTATTATTATTATTATTAGTTTATAGCATTTCAACGGTCACAAGAGGTCATACCGGTGGCAACTGGTCCTCTGTTATCGGCTCCCAAGTTGCAGCTGCGGGCACCTTAAAACACAAGCAAGAGCACATCGTTACCGGTGATCAGTTCCGTGTTGAACTTCACGTTGATCCCCTCGGTTTACCTTCGAGTTGTGTGGTTGAGAACTGAAATCACGCGTCCCTTTAACGTGAGAGCAACGGCAGTAGACATTTGACAGCGAGAAGCCGATGTGTGATGAAGACTTAACAAAATGAATTTCGACATGCATTACAACCAGCTCATCATATTAGCCGTGACCAACTTCATATATCGACGTACTGAGAAAATAAATCAAAGCTAATGATGACAGTATTCCTTAGTCTGAAAAACAAGTTCCAAATCTTCAGAATTCAGAATGTTTCAGCATGGCAGTCCGCTCCTCCCTCTTTGGTAAGGGAATATTTCCTATGGTAAAAGAAATACATTTTTAGTGAACAATGTACTAGTGAATGGGGGAAGATTCCGCTTTTCCAGCAGTACAGTCTTTAAAAAAAAAGCAAGATAAATACTTGTTTTGTTGTAAGTGTCTCTTACCTGGTGGTGCCACATAATATTCCTCCACTGTGTTTTTGGAGAGCTGCAGAAGTTCTTCTGCATGGTTGCCTTCTAACACCGTGTCCTCCCTCAAATGCAAAATCCTGGATGTGCACAGAAGACAAACTGAAACTTGGAAAAAACTGGAGCTGATGGCCATGTAATGACATTTAGCTCACGTGAACAACACACCTGTCCTCCAGAACTGAATCCATCGGCTCGACTCCTGAGGTGTCAACAACATGAAGCTGCGCTGCAAATCTGATGGCCTTCTCCAAACAGGCCAGTCCCTCTTTGGTGCGGAAGTCCACTAAGGCCAGACGCTCCAGTTTGTCCACCAGGTCGGCTGCTACTGGCGTTGGCTGGAAAACAAAAACAATGATGCTTTCATTTGTATGCTCTCATGTAGGTTGTGGAGGCACCTGAAGGGGGGGGGGGCTGTTATTAAGGGCCAATATTTGTTATTATTTTTTTTTCAGTAGCGAAATGATTTAATTAAAATAAATAAATCAATGATGTAACAGGTGAATCAGATTTGACTGGACGTTCATCACATTACAGCGGACGGCAAAAAAATATTCTTATGGGTGAACTTGTGCTGTCACATGACTGTTCAAACGTAGTTAACGGAATGTCTATAACATGAGTCTCAAAGTCTCTGCAGCCCCCCAGTAGTTTTTTTTTAAATGACTATAAATACACATCACCATAATTCATAAGCACCTCTCTACTCATTTTCAGAGGAATGGAGACACACAAATCAACTTGCCTAGCCTAGCGTTTTTCTATGGAGATATTCATTGTAATGAAGACTATTCTTGGTGATCGAACGGCGCATTCCGACTTATGTACGAGAAAGCAACTCAATCGTACAACGAGGACTCGTGTACAGTATTAATATTATTATTGGTTTATAGCATTTCAACGGTCACAAGAGGTCATACCGGTGGCAACTGGTCCTCCGTTATCGGCTCCCAAGTTGCAGCTGTGGGCACCTTAAAACACAAGCAAGAAACCGCAAGAGCACGTCGTTACCGGTGATCAGTTCCGTGTTGAACTTCACGTTGATCCCCTCGGTTTACCTTCGAGTTGTGTGGTTGAGAACTGAAATCACGCGTCCCTTTAACGTGAGAGCAACGGCCTCTTCCACAGTAGACATTTGACAGCGAGTAGCCGATGTGTGATGAAGACTTAACTAAATGAATTTTGCGTGAAACCCAGTGGCACGTTCGCCCAAAAGAGACGCAAAACGTCGGCTTGTTTAGCATTGTTAGCTATACAATATTGAACATATCCGTTGTTAAGTCTTTTTGAAATGCTCCAGACTTCGCCGTTAAGTGCGTCACAAAAACTACACAGGACCTTCTCTCCTCTAACTAGGCTAACGGATCAGAGACATCGAACTTTAGTACAAAAATGACCCTGTCAACGGAACATTTTTGACGCCAAAACTGAACTGCTCAGCGCATGCGCAATGCTTTAACAGAGACGACAACGACGCGAGATAGTTCACCTACTTGAGATTTACAGTACTTGTACAGTATTGTCTACCAAGAAAAAAAACGCCATTATCTATCTGCCCAGTACAGCTTGTTTTAGATTCTATTTGGGGCAATTATTTAAGCACCATATACGAGTGTTGTCGCTAATATGCAGACGATGAGACATGCTTGATGCAGTCGTACGGCTATCAAATGTCATTTTAGTACAGGATTACTTTCGGCAAAAGAGGATACTGTTGATGTTTTCGGTTAAGCATCTTGACAACCAGAAACCAGGTGTCATTTAAAACCAGTTATACCAGTTGTAAAACGAACAAAAGCCCACATAAAGGCGGTTTCCTTTGACCTCATTTGGGAAAAACATTAGTTTTAATCCTTTACCTCCCACCACCAAGTTTTACCCGATTTTACATGAGATAATAGGCTTGGGAATGACCAGAGTCAGAGCCCGGATAGCTCAGTCGGTAGAGCATCAGACTTTTAATCTGAGGGTCCAGGGTTCAAGTCCCTGTTCGGGCGATGACTTTTCTCACCTCCCATCATTTAATGATTTTGCCTGGGCAAATTTGAAACAGATTTACATGTCATTTTATTCTTAATGACAAATGATAGCATCTATGTACCAAGCCTGAACCACAGTCGACCCCTGTAGAGAATAATATGACCGGTACGCATAATCGCAGCGTCTGCAACAGATTATGTTTAAAATTGGAGTAGACTGTATATGTTTATCATAAAATGGTCAGGAATATTACTGTATCTCTATAATATGCAAATAGCTGCAGAAATAATATACCGGTACCTTTTTGGTGCCTCTTTTGTATCAATAAAATGGTGACTCTTCTGATGTTACAATAACATATACCATTTAATATATATTATATATGAGCTCTCAGAATATAATTTGTTTTACAATACACAGGTAGAACTTGGCACAAAATGAAAATACAACTTTTACCAAAATAGCAACAATCCAGTCAAAACGATCCAGTCAAATGAATAAATAATAATAATAAAAGGCAAATAAATTGAAGGCTTACTGACATCAGTTTGCATACACAAAGAAACATTAATGCAATTCATTTTTAGCACATTCATAAACAGAAGCAATAAATAGGAAGCTTGAAATTTGGGAAATCCTTATGAGTATCAACTGAAAAGTTAAAAACACATAGTATTTGTCATCATCAATGGTTAAATATGCCCCATACATTTAAACAGCTGCTTTTCGTGATATTTTTTGCAAGCAACGTTGAAAATAAATCACAAGCATGGAAACATGCCTTTAATTTGCACCTCATTGGATCACGTAAAAACATCACTATGTTTGTCTGTACTTAACCTTTGTGACATAAGTTGTCATTTCTGCAACAGAACAAAACTGACGAACCATACAAAAATTCAACTCGTACAAGAAACAAAACACAAAACTGTTCCCAGAACAAAAACAACACCAAAAGATCATGTTTGACAGTGTGAAACGAGAATTTCTGAATATATACTTAAAATTCATCGGACTATGATTTGACAAATACTTATCTCAGAATTAACAATTTACACATGACAAGGACATCCTATTTGGCAGGAAGGCAGCTTGAGGACATTGGAAACACTGTTAATATAAAATGACTGACGTGATACTCAGCTCTAAATAGATTTTAACTGTATTTGTAAAACTACCATTCATTCATTTCTTCACATGAGAGGGGAAGGTGGGGAAGTTTCCATTTTAAAAGTAATCTAATCATGTAAACATTGGCTATTCAACAAGTTTAAGCAACATACACTACTTCATAAATATGTAGTCATTCAAAATAGTTTGGATTTATCTCTTCGTTTTGTTTTTGAAATGTGCAACTAGCTTACAGTAAGATTAAGTCTGCTCCGATTAACATTGACACTTCAGGGTTTGACGTAAAACACACTATGTATTTGCAGATACTGACAGTTACTCTACAAAGCATAATCTCATTATAGACCTGCTGACTGCACAAAGAACGCAGAGGAGCATACTGTCATTGAGGCTCGATCAAGGCTGCAACCAATGATAGTAAAGGCATTTTGTAGTACAGTATAATGTACGTGTGTGTGTGTGTGTGTGTGTGTGTGTGAGAGATGCTGCTACAAATGTTTACACTTGATTGGAAGGAAAAATAAGACCCATATCACTGTCATTTGTTCTCTATCAGCATCTGCACCTTGTACACCAGATCTCTTGCCAAGGTCAAAATCTGCTTGATGTTGTGATGCTCAGCCATCTCTGAAAGACAAGACCAGGTTCATTAATATTTCTATTTTCTACACCGCTCAGTCTGGTCAGTGTTGTGTGTGTGTGTGTGTGTGTGTGTGTGTGTGTGTGTGTGTGTGTAGGGGCGAGGGGGGTATTTTAGCTGGCTGTGGAGGAAAGGCAGACTGTACCCTGTATGAGTCAGCAGTCAATTGCAGGCGACTTCCTAGAGCCATAATTATTCAAATTAGAACTTACTACGCCAGCAAGACATATTGAAGTACTTAAACTACTGGTTGCAACATTAAATGTAGGTGGTTGATAAAAGGAGAGCTTTCTTGCTTTTAATCACCAGCAAAATCTATCACGAAGGGATTGAAGTGACCGTGAAAACATTCAGCTTCACGAGGTTTTACACAACATGGCATTGACTGTTCAGGAATGATTGCCATTTCACACAGAACATCTTCATTTTCACAAGCACAAAAGTACAATTGACATAATTGTAAACATTGCCAAAAATTGAGGTGCAGATGACTGTTAATTAAGGTCGGTGTGTAGTATTTGGAAAGCTTCTTAGGAAAGTGGAAAAAGCCAAATGATGACAAAAGAATTTAAAACTTCCAGGACAATATCGCCGTCCTACTTCCATCCATCCATCCATTTTCCGACCCGCTTACCCTTACAAGGTTCGCAGGCTGTGCTGGAGCCTATCCCAGCCGTCTTCGGGCAGTAGGCAGGGGACACCCTGAACGGGTTGCCAGCCAATCGCAGGGCACACACAGACGAATAGCAATCCATGCTTACACTCACGCTGAGGGACAATTTAGAGTGTTCCATCAGCTTACCATGCATGTTTTTGGAATGTGGGAGGAAACCGGAGTACCCGGGGAGAACATGCAAACTCCACACAGGGAGGCCGGAGCTGGAATTGAACCCGGTACCTCTGCACTGTGAGATCAACGCGCTAACCACTCGACCATCGGGCCACCCTCATTTTTAATACTTGGATCAAAATCTTTTCTAACACAATCAATTGTGAAGTGTATTGGACTATAAGCTCTGCTCATATTTAGTATAAATTCAGTATAAAAGTCATAGGAGAGGTGGATAATGACATTACACATGCTGGAAAAAAACAAGAAAAAAACCCATCAAGATTTCTTGAAGACAAAGAACTGCAATACTGTATAATGGCCAAATCTAATGAGCAACCATAAAGACTTGTGTTTTACCGTTAAAAAATTTTATAATTTCAGTGAAGTCCATGTTGTTTTCCAGGATGATGTCCCTGTAGATCTCCACTAGAGCCAAGGCGATGAAGAGGACAAAATGACTCGAGGAGGCAAACTTGGCCGCCCAGATGGTTTCCCACGCAGCAAAAACATCATCGTAGACCAGCTCTGCAAGGGAAAGCACAAAGGGCTTGGATCAAACCAAATAAGTACAAAGTAGACGAAATTAATGCCTGTAAGATTTGATGTCTCTTTTTCCACTGAAAGTTGCCTTTTCTCAGCAACACAATTCTCCAGATACAAAGGCAAAATCGCTTTTTGCACATCAGGCTAAAAAGACGTGTTAAAACCCAAATATGGCTTATAGACAGACATCTCTCAGTCCGCTAATTGGTACAAACTCTGTCATGTGTACCTCGCTTGAAGTCTAAGAGGAACCAGCGGTAGCAGAAGTAGAAGTGAGTGTAGTCTCCGTTTTGGTGCATCAGCTCAAACAGCTCTGAATCCAGGATCTACAGTAAAGTAAAGCAGGGATCAAAACAGATTTTAAAGGAAAAATAATCATTGCTGGAAAAAGGTTAGTTCCAGTATGGGTGTGAAGCTGAACAGATGAATTTCATGCGCAACTGGTCCAACTTGTATTGGCTTGTATGAAAACGTGGCTGATGCTGCCTTACTTGGATCAGAGAGCGCATGTTGGCAAAGTGCGTGTCCATCGCCCCTCCATGTGGAAAGTTTTGATTCATCCTCTTCATGAGCTCCGTGAAACAGCTAAAGGCCATGGCCTCTGAGACAGCAAGAGATGAAAAAAGATGCCACAGCCGAAAAGCGGACGAGGAAATAGAAGAGGCGATGGAGTGTTGTGACTCACCATCATCCAGAATGACGAGAAGTGGAGCCAACAAGTCACACATACCCTGAACATATCCGATGTCGAGGTGCCTCCAGATGTAGCTGCAAATACACAATCAAGAAAGGGATCAAAACATCAATCCAGCTGTAACAAAGCACTTTACAGAACATTTAAAATACGACGGCCAAGAAATCTCAATATTGATCCATATATAAGGCGCATCGGATTATAAAACGACTGTCGGCAAACAAACCTCTTGTTGGTTTGTTTCATCCTCTAAATTGAAGTGTTAGCTAATATTCTATATCATATACAAATACATAGCAGATGGTTCCAGCGAGACAGCAGTTGGATGTACTAGAGAGCCATAAAATCCAAGACAAATCAGAATTGTAAGTTTTTGACTGACCCAGGCCAGCCCTATTTTTACCATTAAGAGATTCAGTCTGTCACTGTTGTACCTGCACATGATGTTACGGAGCTTTTCCAGGTTGACGGGAGTGAAGTACCAGTAGTTCCTGTCACAGCGCTGTACGTCCTTTTCAATGCGGTGCAAATTCAACGTGTACAAGTCTAAAAGCTCTTGCTGAAAACCCAGAACAATCAACACATGCATGAACTCACCGGTTAATCGATAGAGTTTGGATTCGAGACTATGAGTCTTTGAAAAGAGCAATACATACGGAGAAGCCGCCCCCAGCAGACTGTTGCGAGTTGGCTTCCGCGGTGTCCGCGCAGCCATCCAGAGACTCAAAGTGAGGGTAAAGGCTCTCCATCTCAGGCTCCTCAGACAATATGGATTCAGTGCCTTCCGGACTAGGCTTTTCCTGCCCACCCTCGGGTCTGAGATCCGTGTAAGGGGCCGAGTCCTCAGAGGAAGACAAGGGCTCACAGCGAGCCTTTCTGCTCCAGGGCACCATGGAAACATTGGCTTTGGGAATCTCCTCCATCTCTAAGGCTGAGGGAGACTCATCAGACTCAGTGAGGACCTGAGCTTCTGCCTTCTGAGAGGCACAGTAGGCTTCTCTTGCTCTCGACACCCTCGTGTCTGTAGATAAAGACAGTTTCTTGCCAACTTCAGGTGTCCTGGGATTTATGGTGCCAGCTTCTCTTCTCGCCCCCTGTGATGTCTCACCTTGCTTGGATTGGTCTTCCACTTTAAAACATTCAGTCTGACGCTCTCCTGCAGTTTTTGTCACGTCTTTGTTTTTCAGTCTTTGCTCAGCATAATCTTGGGATTCTGTACACGTTCCTGGTGTGAACATACTGTCTTTGTCAGGCACTTCTCTTCCTTCACTCTCGACTGAGGAACCACCTCCACGCTGAGCCTCCTCTACTTTAGGATGCTCTGACTTGTTGGACTCTTCCACTACATCTAGCACTTCAGTCTTGGTCGCATTGGGTTTCTCGCGCTTGTCCTGCTCTGTCAGACCTGCATCCTGAGGAGGTTTGGCCGAAGCTCTCGGAGCAGCCTCTGGTGCAGCGCCGTCCTCTGTGCTGAGCGAGCCGTCCGACAGGCCGGAGGTAACTGAGAAGTTGCGGGAAGAGGGATGCCCCGAGTCGGGAGAGCTTGGGCCATTGTGGACTGCCCCGTTGTTCATTTTTGGCACCTGCTTGGCTTCTTCACGCTTGGATTCTGTCTCGATCTGCTCCACCTCTTCTACAGACTCAAAAACCTGAAAGAACAAAGCCCAAAAGGAAGCAGACTACTCCGGGGGGAGGGATGGGACGATGTGGATAACTAGCAGGAAGAGAGTAAAGGGGTTCCGCTTTAAAACATCATGCAACCTTCTCGTTGTATCTTGTTAAATGGTGATATCAAGTAGAGTCGAAAATGTTTTGTGTGCTGCTGGTGTAACGCGCTGAGTGTGATACCTGTGTGCTGGTGCTGGAGTCACTCTGCAGACGAGCCAGACTCTGCCTGTCTGAACTCTGGGAGGACCGGGACTGGGAGGTTAAGGACAACCAGGCCAAGATGTCATTGTATGAAATATCAAAAATGATTCCTGTTAGCGTCACCACAGCTACCTTAAAAAAAGTAACTTTACTGATTACTTTAAAAGTAACTTTATTTGAAAATTAACAGTCAGATTACAAGTTACTAATTAGTTACATTCAACAGTTGCCGACAATCCCGCTTGACATAAACCAACTTAAAAAAAAAAAAACAACTATCATAACCAATTATTTTTTTATTAAAAAAGAGTCTTGATGGATTTCACTTAACATAAATGGGCTACTTGTTTAAAAAAAAAAAATAGTCATCCTAGACTTCATTTAAAAAACATTTTGTTCAGGGAGACTGCTTTGGCCTGACATATTGAACTGTTAATAGTGTCATGGCAAAACTTAACATTTATAATCTACACTGTTAATGCAAATATCTCTCCTCCGTTGTTATTTTTTACGTGACATGTGACATGCCGCATAGAGTACATGACGTCACTCTCCCAGAGGGGGATGCTAAATTGTGAAGTCCCACAATGCTTACATATTCTATAGTGTCCAGTTGTTTGCTGTGCGTCTTTATGCAGGCATAGGGTCTCCTCCTGTATTTTATAATTTGTGAATGATAAGTTTTGTTCCTTCTATGTTTGAGGGAACACCATGTTTGAAACATGTGATTCCTATTCAACTGTTGTCAAATGCTATTCACCGCTGCACCACAGAGGCAGTGAATGCCATTACCACTTGGTGGTAAGCGTCACGAAGATTTCTATAAGCTGCTTGTCACATGCATATTTTTGGGAATGTGGACAAAAATGCACACTCGGCAAATGAAGTTTCCATGCTTGTAGCTTTGCATCACCTCATTGCTGACGGTTGAGTCATGATGGACCATCTTTGAACTGGTACTATCCATGCTCGCCCCCGAAGAGCACTTGGCTAAAGCTGCAGCGTGCTGCTCCTTCTCCCGCTGCCGAACAATTTCCTCACAGCCGAGCCATTCGCGCATGGTCTGCTGGTAGCACAGGCGCACCTGCTCATCCACCTGCAGTCAGAAATGAAAGGTCAGCGTGGGAAAAGATTTCTACGGGGTGGCGGGGGGGTGGGGGGGGGAGCCTTCGTTGTGAAAAGCGTCTCACCTCCTTCCTTTCTGTTTCAGACATTCCAAACTGGTAATGCCCCAAAAGAAATGGCCACACTTCCTTCCGCAAAGACGGGTCCACGCCGCCGAAATAGACCAGACGAAGCAGCTCTTGCTCCTTGTAGGTCTGAAAACGAAAACATCTATTGTCACTTTTATGTACAAAAGCAAGGCTCTTTTTATTTCCACAAAAATGTGCACTAGTCAGAAAATGATAGATGCGAGAGTCTCTAGGTTTGTTCTCTTCATTCTTAATTGGGGCGAGATGTAATTGCCTCACAATGGGGGAAAAAAAAATTAAAGATTATGTTTTGCGTGTTAATTTCATCAGCCAGGACCACGCTTGGAAGATTCACAATGCTGATGCACAATCCCTACGTGGACAGTTATACTGACAGAGCCATTAGCGACGCTTCATGCACACGGCTGCGAGACTAATGATGTGAGCAACATAATTAGCGGAGAATGAGAATGGGTGGGACGGCTGAGTGGCAAGCGACAGAGAAAAGGAGGGAGGCTGTAAGGGGACATGCATTTGTGTGTGTGTGTGTGTGTGTGTGTGTGTGTGTGTGTGTGTGTGTGTGTGTGTGTGTGTGTGTGTGTGTGTGTGTGTATAGGAAGATGTGCTTAATGGGAAATTTGTGAGGAATGCTTACGTTACAGTCCTGCAGGAACATCTGCCACACATCTGCAGTGAGTCCTTTGCACGCGTCGCAAGGCAAGTCGGGCGACACGATGGTGTGATTGACGAGAGCCGAGAGATGAGTGCGTACAGTGGACAGGTGACGGCAGTATGCCAACCCTGGTTGATGAGACGGGACAATATTCAAACCTTCTATGGAGGTTCCTGCTGATTAAAATTAAGATATCAATGCTTGAAAGCCAGGAGATACTGTGTGCGCGCTGAAGCATTATTATACCATTCGAATATCGTGTATGAGAAAATATTCCCTCTCCTAGACTTTTATTGAGCCATGGATGAGGTGCAGAGTGTTACAGCTATAATAGCGGTGTTTTAAAACATCCTCTTCCTGAGATAATGAAATGTCCCCACAGATTACTTTGGTCCATCCTCATTCAGATGATTCACAGCACAACAAAAATGTTTCATCTTGCAAATAGATTTTCGAGATACATTTTTCGCTTCAAATAGAATTAGCTGATAATTTACTCTGACAGATGACACATGATTGATATTAGAATTATCAGGAATTTGCTACATACTAACTGCATCCAGGATGCAAGGACAAGATTGTTGAACAGTTTTTTTCTCTCATAAAGGACAATAATGAATGAATGTATTTTTTCAAATGACTTTTGCAATAATTATGTGCCATATATGCCAAAGTTGTACTGAGGATGGGAGAGGTGGACCTGTCCAATGTCTGCAGTAGTGCATCCTGACAATCCAAGAGTGAAAATGCTTTCATTTCACTATTTGATCCCAATAAATTCTTCTAGCATTGTGATTATGGAATGTCATGGCCATATCTCCATACAGGGAAGAGACACATTTTGAAGAAGAAAAACAAGTTCATTCAGTATATTCACTCAGGCCGCTAAAAAAACGCTTTTGGTCAAATAACATTTTTGAACCTCGACTTGACTCAACGAAATCTGATCCAGCACATAAGACTTCCTCCTTAGACTTGTACAGTGAAGCTCTCGACATGATGGCCGCATCACCTTAACTTTCTTTCTTCTTATTCCGATGTGCCCATCATTTGAAAACAATTGAGACCGATTAGATTGCGTAACCTTTTTCCATTGTTTCACTGTTGCTTGCCTTTAGTACTCCGACCAACCCTGACAGACCACATGCCCTTCTTCCATTGTTCTCTTGCCCTTCTTCCTCCGTATCTTGAGACGAAAGATATGGAGAAACTATCGACCTTTTGTTGGCGTCAACATCCATTTTTGAGGCGCACAATTCCAGCGGAAAGGTGAAGAGTATGAAATGAAACGTTCACATACAGCCATAAAATGCCCTGGAGATGATCTGATACTTCATGTTGTCACATAGCAGCTTCAGGGGAGTCCTGAAGAGAAACAAGAACAATGTCACAACTCCGGTCATGTTTACACAAACCTTAATGTTACATTTTTATACATGCGGTTGACCTGACGGGGGATCAACGCCTCCAGCGGAGGATAATGAAGCTTCATCTAACTCCAACTGTCATGTACAAAACACCAACCACATGCCCTGACTTAGTTCCAATTACCATTTTATCTGCTTTGCTTGTTCTCATCGTCCCCGCACATTCTCATGTCACTGAGGAAAATGTCACACGTTTCCATCTATTGCAACATCCCGCTGTCGTCTCCGCATGGACAGATGTGACCAGCCGGTGACTGCGCCTCGGCAAAGCTTAATTGCTTTACACAAAGCAAGAGCTTATTTGAAGCCCTGATGTGATTATTTCTCACTCTCTCACCTCTCTTGGTTGCAGCCTTTGGGTGTGGAGCCATCAGAGAGGCTGCCCTGGGAGCAGGACGAGCACGAAGACTTCCTGAGAGTAGGATGCCACATCGCAGAACTCTGGTCCATCAAATCTGGTGGAGTCACTGCAGAAGGCACATACGCACGCACACGCATCATTACTGTCACCGTCAACATGTAATTGCTTCCTGCGCATGGGCATTAGCGGTTAGATGAGCAAATAATTTCATCTCGGAAGGAATTGTGCGGTTCAATGCGCAATGAGCTTAAAAAGTCCATTGTTTGCACTGTTGGATCATACTTAAAACAAAATAACAAATGATCGGGAACACGGTTTTAAAGACTGACAACATCGAACATCATAACCACGCAAGCAAAAGCCTTTCTTGGCAAGGCGCCTATAATCAATCCATCACTTGTCAGTCCTCCAGTTAATTGAAGGCTACGTTGTCGTAACGCATGAAAGAAGGTGTGACAAGGCAATAGGATGGAGTCGGTGGGGGTTTTATTCTTGGGACACATCAATGAGCATGACCAGAGGCACAAGGGAGGTCAGGAGGATATTAGATGGTGGAAATGAAATGAAGACGGCCACACAAGTCCAGGATGGACAGCAGCTGCATTCTCAGAATGAGGATCTCTTGAGGTCAACCTTGATTTAAAGGAGGCAGCCAAAATCTCTTTCAAAAACAATAACATGTATTGGAAATAAAATCCCTTCACATTTGTAGCCAGCTAGAGGGTTAAAATATGACCAAAAGATGTATCAATAGAACAAATCCTGAACAACATGAATCACCTGAATAAAGCGATAGTGAAGTTGCGACTGATTATCTCACTCAATTATAAAGTTACAAAAGCAATTCATACAGTAAATAACACTATAGACACCATGTAACATTCTAATGTGCTACAAAGGTGAGCAAAACGCAAAGAAAAATGAATGCCTTGTAAAAGACATGTCTCACCAAAGTCTGAGAGGCTATTTGGAAAGAGGATACGGAAGACATAGTCTGTGGCCTCTTCCTCCTCCTTATCTGAGACAGAGTCTGTCGATCCGGATCCCTGAGGAACCCTCTTCTTCAGCTTCGGGAACACCTTGCCCTGCAACAGGAAAAAAATCACATGAAATGAATAACTAACGAGTAATGTGAGAGAACAAACCGAAGCTTACATGTTTGTCATCTAACTGCTATCGGGATGTTTCGACAACATTAAGAACTTCTTTCCGATCCAAGGGAAGAAAATGTACTTGGAGCTTATGTAAGCATTAAACCCTGCCAACCTGTCTGACACTTGAATTTGACAGACATATGAGAAATAAACCTTGTAAAATGGTACTTTTATATTTGAACTGTTTCATTGAATTATGTTCAATTATTCTAAACCTTTGCCTCCCCCCCACCTCCAAAAAAAGAAATATGGACAAACCCAAGCGGATAAAACCTCTTTGGCAACATTTACAAAAGGCAGAAGAAGAAATGATGAATTAATGTGAATTTAAGATGCCGAGCGTCTTGCGTGGCCGTGCTCATTCAGAGTCGTGGAACAAGCGTGGGTGTTTTCTATTCTTCCGTTTGCTCGCGCTGCACGTAATAAAACAAAGCGACTCTCATCATGTGTGCTGGTGCATGCAGTGAGGACATAAAGCCAAAGAGTCATCTTCAGCTGTGCAGTTCATCTATTATTGGTTTATTGATCAGATTGAAAAAAAAGGGGGTTAGCACGAGCATTGTTCCTCCGTAACAATAGCTAACACGAGTCATTTGAGTGCATCGGGAGGGACGACCTAAGGTGCTGACCTTTCCCCTCTGAGACCAGAGAGGAGGATCCAGCTGACCGTGCGGAAGCAGACCATTTTCCAGGCAGGAGAGGAACTGAAGCAGGTGACCTCCTTTAGGGAAGCGAAGTGGAGGCCTTTGGATGCCATCCTGACTGACCAGCACCACTGTGCCTCCGCTGTCGACTGCAGGAAAAATGTTTTCATCACTGCACTTCATTGCCAGCTTTAAAAAAAAAAAAAAAGGGAACTGCAGTGGAAAATGTTTATTGCCTGGGCCTACCTTGTTGATGACAGTGCAAGTACACGATCTCTTCGAGAGGGATTGTCATGGCATAGTCCCAGTACACACTACAAATCATTCAGTGGAAAATAAACATTTTTTTTCCCAAATGAAATAATAGTCAAGCTTGTGCAAAGAGATAAGCAAGGGGCAATCATCAAACCTTCTTACTAAAAGGAAGCACACTGTGACACACGCACACACACACACACACACACACACACACACACACACACACACACACACACACACACACACACACTAACAGAGGAATATTACATTACTGGTTGGTCTGACAGTGTCTGAGTCAATAAACCACCTGCAGGCTGCCTGTCTGCTGAAAATAAGCCTAATTAGATGAGCTGTGCATACACAGTCTGTGAGACACAATTGCACACACAATGCACATGCACGCACGCACACACACGCAAACACACACACACACGCAAACACACACGCACGCGCACATTGTATCATTCAGAAACAAAGGCGTGTTTAAGTGTTTTGCTAAAAGCAGCGTAATCTTGCATCCTGGCGTTATTTTGCCCACAAAGACACGCCATCGCATCATCACCTTCGTTCATAGTCCAAATCGCCAACAGAGCCGTTCATAAGTTGATTGGGTGTCCACTTCAGTGTCATGAGGTCGGCCGTCTGATGAAGGGAGAGATAACCCGGGATAGCCTCCATGTCGTCCCTCTGCAACAAGCCATGAGGACAGATGGTTTCATCCCAGGCATAATGGAACAGACAATGAAGGACTTACTTTGTTGAGTTTTGACTTAAAAGCATAGTCGGTATAGCAGGGGTGGGCAAACCTTTCTGCTCAAGGACGACATTTGATTTACAAATTGGACAGATGGGGCAGGTTTATAAAAACAAAAAAAAAAAAAACATAGCAACAGAGCAGGCTATGCTTTGCCCACATCTGATGTGTTGGTTGGTTCAAGCATTCATGAAATGAAAGAAAACATTGCTCCGTGTTCAAATAATTTTTCTAAATCAATAATAATAACCGAATGACTAACATTGTTATTAGTATTTTTTGGTGGTTGTAGTTTGCACTTGCGTAGAGCTGTGCAGGTTAATAAAAGTCCTTCCAATATTATGAGAACCTGACTTGGCTTGTGTTGTTCATCGATTGAGTTTCTTCATTCAACACTTACCGGCTGAACGAGCACATTGTTTTTGCCAAACAGCAGTGTGGCCCTGTTGTTTTGATGCAGTGACTCCACGTAGTCGCGCGCCGATGGCGAGGGTGAGGGGCGCTCGTCCATGCTGCTGCTGGAGTGACGCTTCTGGATCTGAAATGTAACAAATTCAAAAGAGTGGCAGTGCTTAAAAAAAAGACACACTACGTCAAGTGTAAATGTTTATTGTAATGTTTTGTTTTGACACATACCGACTTGCAAAGATTCATTTGAATCCTGCCACATTCGCACAAGCTGCGCCCGATTCCTTACTTACACACAATGCAGGCCTCTTGGTGGGCGAGTCCTGCCTGCAGTAACCACTGTGGATGCGATGCCTTTGCACCAACTCGTCAGCCGAGGGATCGGTCCAGAAGTGGTCGGCCGTCTTCATCTTCGTATACTCCAAAGCACAAGGTCCCACTATCACGGGGGGGGGAATATATTTACATCAGCTGTAAAATCATGTACATGCTCAAATACATCACAAATATGATGTGCTATAAACATTGAATGCCAATACTCTGCATTGCAAATTATCATGCAAATGATCATTTTTTTCCAGATTTTCCTAACTAGCAAATGACAGTCATCATAATTGAAGTTATAGAATTTAATATCTACCATTATCATTTGATAGGATGGAATTTGAATGATTTTCTACAAAGCTTCAAATGCCCTGTCCCGAGTTGCAGCGCGCAATAAGGTTTCAAAACATTTTATAGGTTGGAAAGAAGTGAAAATAGTCATCTGCTGGAGTTGCAGCATCAGCATCAAAGCCTATCGAAAACGTCTTAACAGATGGAGTTAGATAACCGGTATAACATAGGAGTGCTTGTTTTGACAGCGTGCCACCTCCAGATTCACAATTCTTGCATCCATTGAACTTGTGGGTTTTTTGCCTTTTTCCGCTTGAATTTCTTTGTAGGATGTCAGAATAGCTTCCCAGAGCTGCCGCTTGGATGTCAACCTCCGCCCACCCTTATAGATCTTTTGCTACTGCCTCCTCCCTCACAGATCTTTTTGCCTGGGGATGTTCCAAAGGTTCTCAACAGGATTTAGTTCAGGGAAGGACGGGCTCCATCCCATGAGTTTTTCTCCCTTTCTGCTCCTAGCAGCCGATGAGGCATGATAATGAGCTATTCCTTGCAGCATGAGATGGCGCAGCTTCATGCATGAAGATGATTTTGTGATGAGAGGCACACTTTTTCTTTTGTTCAGAAACTTGACAGAAGTCATTTTCACACCCTCAGCGCTGCCACATCTTCGCTGACATCGTAGCCTTTTTTGGGAAACGGTGGCCAGTTTCATGCGGCAAGGAATACCTCCCCTCTCACTGACCCTACATGATTGGATTCTATCATTTGCATCGACCATTACAAACGACGAGGTTCCCACTTCAGTGTAGGCCGAACGATCATCCGGCGTGTTTACAGAGCGATCCTGTGACGTTTGCTTGCTTCAGTGCACGAGAAGAAGCGAGAGTCGTGGCAGGACAACTCGTGAATGTTCTCTCGCAGCTCTCCACCACGGCACCTTACATCAATAAA